ATGCAAAATAATTGTGTGTTTTTCGTAAAATAATGTGTTTATGAGTTGTAGTGCAGTATAAATGGACTTTATGCCAGATGTAGAAGACTGCAAATCAACAAAATCAATGAAAAGCGGAATAAAATATGAAAAATATTGTAATATTAAGTAATGTAAGAAAATAATCAATGTCGACAAATATAGTAATAATAGTAAATAAAGTAAAAACTGTTTTTTTTCTTCTCCAAATTCTTTTCTTTTATACTCCTAGAGCTAATTCATAGTCCAATTTCCTGGATATATTGCATTTTGTGTAATTATAATATATGCTGAAAGAGATGCAAAATACACTTACTCTTTCCCCATTTTGATGCTGATCATTTGCTTGTTCGAGTTTCTCCAATTGTTTACTGCATTCGTAGAGAAGCCTTTTTGTCCGAGTTGTCGCGTCTTTCCTTTCTTTCAGTTTTCTCGTTTCTCGTTCTACGAAAACTGCAGCCTAGTAATCAATGATTGTAGATGTCAAATCGAATAAATCATAGGGTTAGAAAATCTGTCACAAAGAAGAAATTTTCTCACAGCTCTGATGGTTTTCGCCTCGCTGCTTTGGATGGATCGGAGTGGTTGGACGACATCATCGGTTAAGGCTGAGCCAAGGTTACTAAAGAACAATAGTGGTGTTGAAGAATTTAGAGTAACTTGGCAGTAACTTAGCAAGTTTGTTTTTTAAGATTGGTTCTCTCTTTTTCAGAGTTTTAATTTGCTTGATTAATCTAATGACCAAATTGTTGCTAATTAGTAGAAAAGGGTCCAGAAAATCTTGCTACATTCGTCAAGGTTTTATAAACTTCCTAATCAGTGGATGATATCAAAGTGCAAAAAATTACAAACACTCTCGCATAATTTCGATACTGATGAGATAAACCACAACTGCTTAGTAATTTTTGCTATTAAATTTTGAAAATAAGATGAATTCCACTGCAAGTCTGTATTCTCATGATAAGGAAGAATTAAACAGGTGCACCAAAACATAATCATAAATGTTAATGTTAATGTTAAAAACAATTTTTCAAATTTTTTATGACTAAAATTACAAATTTCTGAAGCAGGCGTCTATTTTCTACAATTTGCATTGTGAAAAGTCTCCAAATAAGGTAGACTCTCAAACTTCGTGATGGGATACCAAACAACAGCAAAATCCGAAAAATTTAATTTTTAAAAAAAGAAGTACTGGATGAAATGTGATAAGAAATTCAAAATTAAGAAAGTTTGAGATATGCAAGCTGGATATTAGACTGGTGTGAAAAAATGGAATAGGTAAACAAGTCAAAAAGCAGATGAGTTAAGATAACTCTATTACATACCTGTGAATAGTGGCTTGTACGTCAAATTGCTCCGCTACAGATGTCCAACCCTTGTCGATGTCACTAAAAAAGCATTTTAGCAAAAATAATTATAATTTAAGCTGTATAATTGATATAATCTAATATAATTTTACTTCAATTCAGTTTAAACTGCAGCATTAGGAAAAAAAAACAAAATTTTGGCAACATTTTTATTCTGTTCGTAAGTGATTGT